CTCTTTAAAATTAATATTAAAATCATATAGTAATTTCGATATGAAATAATCAAACATGCCTGCATATCGTAAATGTATCGACCTTATCACTATCGAACACAATCCTAGGTGACGAAAGATCGATATCTTCAATGTCTGTAAAATTGACAGTATCGAAAAGTATCTCGCGTCCTGTCAGCGCTTTCTCTAACATTGCCATTTGTTCGTACGTATTAGGATAATTTATTAGTACCCAACCCTCGACATCTCCAATTCCTTTTAAATACTCAATTAGTATCTTTGTATTCAATTCGTTCGAAATTGGCTGACCCAACGTTAGAAATTCATAAGTCCATTTGCCTAAGTAGTGCAAGTAATCATTAAGTAACAAGTAATTGCTCCTATTTTGCAATCAACGAAAATAAATAGAAATAAATCCTCGGCAATTGGTATTTTTAAAATTCTAATATTTATTATAGTCACTATAAGATAAATAATTTAGTTTTAAATATAGCACTACTTTCTTTCTTATAAATTGTATTACTCAAAAGCATTATTAATATAAACGACTTCGATATTGATTAGAGATAAAATCATTTTACATTATTAATTAATTTTAATCTCTATTTAAATTCCTCTACCTATATAAGCAGTGTTGCTTAAAATTGGATCTATATCGTCGTAAGGTATCTGTCTAGGTGTTTGCGTTTGTTTCTCTGTACTTTGCTGGGGTGTTGCTATCTTTGCTGATTGTTCGATCTTCTTCGGGTCCTTCAAATCCTTCAAATTGTTTGTCTTATCCTTAGCCTCCAATTTCTTGATGTCTCTTGCCGTCGCCGAAATAATGTTCAAATCGATGTATTCCACATCGGCCATTTCCTGTTTGTACTTCTCGAGACAATAATTAATCGCGTCTTCCATCGTTAACAAACGAATTCCGTTATTCTTCAGCAATTCTCGCATCTGTTCAAGCAAACTGACATTTGTTATGCCCAAGACAATAGCTGCGAACTTAACTTTAGGCACTGGACAACTAAATACTTCAGTCGGATAAGGATATAAAATCTCCAATAAACGATGAACGATATATCCAAGCACAACGCAACCTAGTCTATAAATTTGTTCAGCTTCTTCTTCTCTCTTCGGTACGAATTGATCCCAGGGAGCGGTTAAATCTTGATAACTTTCAAAATCCGCATCCACCAGAGATCGCCAACGTTCCATTTCTAACCTCTGATTTTCTTCAATTTTTAATCCTTTTCTAATCTTCATTTTTTCTTCGTTTTTTATACTTTCCCAGCTTTTCCTTTCTTCGTTTTTTATACTTTCCCAGCTTTTCCTTTCTGCATTATTTTTTATTATCTCCTTCATCTTTTCTTTATCTTTTATTTCTCCTACACTTTCTATCTCTTCAATATCATCAAAATAGTCTATAAGTTCAAATATCGGTTGATTCTTTAGAAATAACGTTCTACATTCGTTCCAAATAAAATTTTGAATATGATTATTATTCGCTTGACAATAATCAGAAATCTTCATTGCGATATCCACAAAATCGTTTACGATCTCTGAACAGATGCTTTGATATTTCTCCTTCATTCTGCGCATCTGCAAAGTGATTAAATTTTTTTCACTTGCATATTCGACTCTTGCATTTTTTATACAATATTGTAATCACTCTTCATATATTATTAATAATTAAAATTTATTAGAATTTTTTGTGTCTATGAAATTTTGGCATATTTTATTTTTTATTTAATTTTTTATTTTTTAAAAAAATAATAATAGTTTTAGTATCAATTTTTATAATTCTACACTTTCTAATAAATATTAAAAATTCCGCATTTTTAATATTAAAAATCAAAAATAAAATATATTGTGTTAACTTCACGTTTCAGCACGATACATCTTCTTTAGATATAAAAACAATACAAGAAGCTATTTTTAATTGGTTAATTTTTGTGTTTTAAAAAGAGATGTATCATATTGGAATGTAAAGTTAACAACATTTTTTATTTTAGATGGTTTGATGATATTAAAGATGCAGAAATTTTTGTTTGATGTTTTAGAAACTTAGAACTATGAAAACTATTGAAATTATCGTTTTTTAAAAATTAATAAAATATCAACTTCACAGATACCAATTTTTTTCTATTTATATGCATCTCTTAAATTCGATATATTTTTTTTCAATATATTTAACTTATATAAAGATAATGCATATTATCTTTCAATTATATAATCTTTTTCAGTTTTTTCTTTATATTTTCAAATTTCAATATTTTTCTATTTTATTCTAATTTCATATTTGTATTTTTGTTAATTTTCGAAATATATTACGTTATCATTATCTTTGTGTCTCATGCTTGTTTTCTCCTACTCTCAGAAGATATATCATATATTTCATCTTAGAGCGTAGTGAATTATCACTCACTTACTTTTTCCTCGCAAATTCTCCGACGAAGTTCATGCATTCTGCAGACTTCCATTTCCACGTCTTCTTTCTCTTCCTTTATTATTTCTTCGCGATGATCCTTCTTCGAATATTCCTCGCTCTCTTTAGTCTTCAGCAACATCTGTTCAACGATTCTACGATTTTCCACGACTCTGTTTCTCAAGTCCCGTACCTCGCACAGCTTCCTTAACATTTGTTTCTCATAGCGCGACTGATCCAACACTCGTTTGCCGAGAGCCTCGTCGAAGGATCTGTCTTGTTTCCTCAACAATCGTTCCCAAGCATTCGCCATCATCGTGGTTTGTGTCTTCAGATTCACTTCATGAGATTTAGCCGTTTTTCTACTGCGCTTCTTCAGAAAATCAATATATTCCGCGGCAGCTGCAGGATCCTCGATGCTTTTTATGTCTAAAGATTTCTTCGAGGGACAACATTCAACTATTTGATATTTTTTCTTCGTTTTCCGAGCCGGATGTTTGCGAGCGAATTCGTCTAATCTTTCGCTCTCTTCCTGCTTCTTATCCGGCAGTTTTTCTGGGATAATATGTTCAACCAGTTCTACCGCGGGATATTCCATGAGATCTTCAATTCGTTCTTGTTCTTGTCTGTAGGCTTTTGTAACAGCCCAAAATTTATTTTTATGCCAGAGGATGGTATCAGCCGCATCGATTAACGGTTCTGAAAGATGGTGTTCGGGCGGTAAATAAGGAGCTGGCTCCTCAGATATTCTGGAGACGTTGAATCTGCTAGATGTGTACTTCCGAAGTCTTTCTGAAGTGTCTTTCTGAAGAGCGATAAAATGCAATCGATCCTTGCCTTCGAGACTCAAGTAAACCTTGTAGAAAAGCTGAAGAGCTGCAGCATTTTTACCCTAAAATATCGTTCTCATAAAAAAATCATCTCGAAACCTTGTTTCTAAAATCTTGACAAACAAAAAACACGTTAGTTAATAGAAACTTTTTGACAAATTAATAAGAAAAATCCTCATTTCTCAGGCCGTATCTAATGAAATGTTTTTCCGATATTTTCTTTATAAAATTTAAGATTAATTAAAAATTTATAATATGTTTGTTTTCTATTTTATTCTCTAGCCAGGTTAATTTTTAAAGTTTCGCATTTTGGCATTCTTGCGAGCGATACTTTGGAGATCTCCTCGATGCATTCGTCACTCAGTGTGACGTTGATGAGTTTCAGCCAGATACGCAGGATCTTCAAGTTCAATCGAGATAAGGCAGGGTCTCGCGTACGAAGAATGATACTTAATTGATTGCTATTGATTATATCGTAGCTATGCAGAATCTGGGCCAGCAGGGTGCCGTCTCTCGTGTAACGACCAAACGTCTCCGGCGTGAGATCCATGATCGCACCCAGTGTCCTACATAGCCATTCTTTCAATATATTGGCCATTTATGAAACTTTGACCACTTTGTCGAATTTTGGATATCTCGTACCCGGAAATCGCGGGACACGCGTTTTCGATATTGACGACATGGTCGGGACATCACGACGTTCGCAATTTGACAACTGCAATCGTACGAAGTTAGGGACACGCCTGAAAACTGAACGTCGAATTTTTTGGAAAAATGATTGATACAAAATGATAATAATAATATAATATCATATTTTTGAATATAAGATCATATTTTTGGATTTTAGAAATTTTCAGATATATTTACGAATTTAACATTTTTAAATTTGTTGTACTTACGTATCGTTAATCATATATACTTCTAAAAATATATTATGCTTTTATTCATTTCATATTTAAATATTGTTAAATTTCATTATTGCTTTTTAGTCAGTCATTCAAAATCTAAACTTTTGAGTTTTGTTTTTAATTGCTCATAAATAAATTTAAAAGATATTTTTAGTATAATAAAAATAGAGCATAAAATATATTATAAAGGTGAGGAAATAGACATAGAAAAAAATAAAAAGCCAAGATTTGATATTTTAAAACATCAATTTAAATAATCAATAATTCATTCACACATACGTAATATGTGTGGTATATCTCCTTTAATATTAAAAATTAAAACTTATAAATCATGCATATAAAAAGTGTATATCCTTGTTGTTGCTTCTG